GATTTTAGCAGTTAACTAAAGTTTGACAGCCAGGTCGTATGTTACCATATTGAATATACCCAGTAGACATGAGAACACGACAAGAAAAGTATTTTATCATACTAATCGCTCTCTGGAGTCTTTTAGCCACCAGACACAGCTGGCAGCCGGCGTCTGGCCAAAAATTTATATCCAATACCCATTTGCATAAGAAACATTTTTGAACTTTTGGCATCGATTTCTCAAGTTTTGCCTTTGTTGAACGAGTGTCGATTGGCCAAGGATTTGATTTTGAACTTCAAGGCTAATCGCCAGCAAATTCATGGGGATCTACGGCCAACTTTTCAGGGTCAATCGGTCTTCACTTTGGGCCTACGTTTTGGCTGTAGCTGTAAACATCTTTGGGCGAAGCAGCCAACAATCAACAAAGGAAAAAAAAAAGAACAGACAACAAAAAAAGGACACACGATGCTGATTATGAACAGATTATTGTTGTTGCTGTTGTTGTCAACTCGACATGGCGGACGTAATCTCTATTAAACGATTTGGGCATATAAATTAAACAATTTACGAGGCTTCAGCTAAGCGCATTTATGCCTTATGCATAACAAAATTTTCAGCTCTGCCTTCGTTAGGGACAAATTGGGTTTAGGGCTTTGCGATTGAGGGGCTGATGGCTTGGGCGCTGGGGGTTGGGGATTTGGAGAGTCGGGGCTTGGGCCATGTGCGGTTTTACGGCTGGGAGCTGAGCACGTGTTCGTGCATGAATTTTGGCTGGGAAATGAATGGGTTTTTCGCTCAGATAGTTTGGGGCAAGCAAATCGGCTATAATCATGGCCTTAGCTGCAGCCCGGCCGGACACGGCAAGACAATGCACGCCGTGCGGTACGTGTGGCGAGTTTTAAGCCGAGGTCAGCCAGTACTTCACTGCAACATGCCCCTAACACACTAATCCTCTTCACCAGCTGATGTCCATCGTGGCGCCATTGTGCATCGACTTCTTGCGTGCGCTCTTTGTGCGATATGTCAATCAAAACTGGTGCTGGGACATGGAGAAAACGTTTCCACAGGTAAGAGATAGCACAGCACAGCACAGTCCCACGCCCACTATGCAACTCTCAACTCTCGACCTGCTGACTAATGGGTGCGCTTTGTTTTTGTGGCGTCTGACATGCAGTATGGCGACTTTAAGATAGCCGAGAACATCCTGACGTTGATTAATAACCAGGGCCAGGTGTGGATGGGCATATTCTTCTCGCCGGGGCTGGTGCTCATCAACCTTGTCAAGCTGATGATTATGATGTACTTCAGGTCATGGATAGTGCTCACCTGCAATGTGCCCCACGAGGTGGTCTTCAAGTGAGTGCTCCAATCACCAGGGCTTAGCCTTCAGCGATGGCTTCACTTAATCAATCGCTACTTGCAGAGCGTCCAAGTCCAACAATTTCTACTTATCGCTGCTGCTGACCATGCTGTTCCTCTGCGTGCTGCCCGTGGGCTATGCAATTGTCTGGCTGCGTCCCTCCTGGCACTGTGGCCCATTCTCGGAATACAATCGCATTGCCGAGTTCATTACGAACACCACTCGAAACGCGCTGCCCAAGTGAGTAGCACTACAATCAAAATCAAACAACCAATCTGTGCTTTACTCTCACTCACTCTCTTTCTGCCTCTGTCTCTCATTAACAGACAACTCCATGAGCCTCTGGACTACCTGACGTCCTCCAGTACCGTCATACCTTTGCTGCTTCTGCTCATTCTCATCATTTACTATCTCATCTCGCTGACGGGTGCGCTCCGCGAGGCTAATCAAGATCTGCGCACTCAGCTGCAGAAGGAGCGAGAGGAGGAGCGCAAGAAGATTTTTAAAGTACCCGAAGTTAAGCAGGCGGAACCAACGGCCACCACGCTGACAAATCGCTGGCGCAAGGTGCTCGAAGCATCCTCGCCTGTGACGCCCACTCAGCCGCCAGATTTCGACACGGAGGAGTACAAGAATCAGGCCAGAAAAGGTGAGCCAAATATTAAGAATTTCACTAAACCGTATATAAGCCTCCCTTGCACCTCTCCAGAGCTCATCTCACGCATCATGAAGAAGGCGCTGCGCAAGGGCTCGGCCACCTCGGACGAGGACTCCTTTGTGCGACGCGATGATGATGACACGGACACTGAGCACCAGGACTCGCTGCCACACGATGAAGAGCCCAAGGAGAAGCGCTTTGGCATGTCACGCCTGCAACAAATACGGCGCACTCGGAAGCCATCGCTTGTGGACATCGTGCAGATTGCCAAGCAGGAGCGGGCACGTTCCGGTTCCATTGCGGCAGCCAATGCGGCATTGGATAACGGTGGTGGCGGAGGTGGCAGCAGTCCGGGCACAGGCGTTGACGGCGGCGATGGGGGTGACCACTTTCCCGTGAAAGAGCCGCATCCCAAGAGCCGCTTCAAAGTCGACAGACACGACAAGAAGGAAAGAGAAAGCTTCAGAAGTAAAAGGGACAAGCAGCCGCCACACAACGATTCGACGTCACCCAAGCCCAGTGAACATGATGCAGAGACGAATACTCGCGTAGTCAACGAGCGACGCATTAGTTTACTGCGTCGCAAGCGAGACAAGGAGGAGCACCCGAAGCCAGCAACGCCGGAACCGGAATCACAGCCACCTCCAGTAATGGCTGCGGATCAGGCCCCACCCGAAAGCCAGTTTCACATTGTTGACGAGAAGAAGCCGGTAGAGCTTGAGGATGAGGAGCAGGAAAAGCCCTTCAAGGAATTGCCAACGCCTCCAAAAGAAGGTGGTCACCTGGAAGGCCTGGGCCTGGGCAAGTTTAAGTTCCGCAAGCATAGATCGAAGGCAAACAACGTGGCTGCCAAGCCCGAGCCCGAGGTCTTCAAGTTTGATGAACAGAGTCTGGAGAAGAATAAGTCAGGTGAAATACCACAAGTGCCCAGCTCGGAGCACCTGAACAGCGAGCAGGCCAGTGGCAGTGAGTCGCATGCACTGCCCTCGCCCACGCCCAGCCTGATGCACAGTCAGCGCCAGATGAACTCCGAGAAGTTGGCGTCGCTATCACGTCAGGGACGCAAGAAAATCGGCTCCTTGTTGGCGTTGGTGCGCGAGGCGGTCAACATCAAGAAGGACGACGTGGAGCAGGGCTCCGATGAGTCACCAGGACCAACCACGCCCACATACTTGGCCTATACACCGCCGCCACCGCCTTCGCTCTTATCGAGCAATTCGAGCGCCACGGCACTGGAAATGCCACCCACACCGGAGCCGGACTCACCGACGCCCAGCGCTCCGCTGCACTTTGGCTGCAGCACATCCTCGGCAGCAAGTCGTCCAACTGTCAAAATAGTCACAGGTGCCGCTGCCTCATGCTCGACACCCACCTTGGCCACCATGGACGATCTTGAGGAGCTGGATATGCCCGGTCCCATAACGTTTCCCAAACGCAGTGCTTCCCAGCGGCGACGTGCCTTGAGAGAGGACTCCCAAAGCTCCATCTGGTCTGATAATATACCAACCATTACCATCAGCACCACCGGCAGCGATGAGTGCATCGTGGACCAAGATCCATCAAGTGCAACTACTGCTACAGCTGCAGCAACCACACCGGCAGCCGCTGTAAATGGACTACCGGAACACAGTGATTCACCTGGACCCACGGTCAACATCATTAAGATCAACATAGAGGACAGCGATGAGCATTAAAACTATTTCCAGAACTCTTCAGCTTAGAAACCAAAAGCCACATAGTCTTCTTCACTAATTAAATTAATTTAGTCTATTTGCAATTTAGCTTAAACTTGTTATAAACAACTTGTTAGCAAAACTCTAATTGTCTATCCAGAATCTATATATATTGAATAAAATAGTTTGCTTTCCTTAAAATCAGATGACATCTCTATTTGCTAGATAAAATGTGAAAATAAGTTGAAGTTAAAGAAATTGATAATTTAATGCAAGCGCCATGTGTTTCATAGCAATCAGCTTTTGAGTATGGCTGACAACAGCAAAGACACAAACCGTTTATGGCAGTGGGTCGAAATATTCGCAATTTGAAAAAGTCAACTATAAGAATATAAATATATAATAGGCTGCTATGTTAAATCAAACTAAATTTAAATACAAATAAAAATTAATCAATACATATAATATAAATAATTTTTCATTTATAAATTCAGCTCATTAAGTTTAGCAAATTTAAAGAGGAATGAAAGGTGCTATAATAATTATAAAGGCACATTTTCATTATAAATGTTTTTAAGCAACAATCTTATTTTATATTTTTTTTTCGCATTATAGTATCAAATTTATTTTTACAACTTTAAAGTTCAGAGTTCATTTATTTATAATTTTGTTTCTAATCTTATATAAATACACAATTTTGTTGGTATATATAGACTTTCATTCAAGACAATAATTTTCCTTTGAGCTTTGCAATCATTTTTTTTTTTTTTTTTAGACATTAAATTAGTCAATGAAACTGAAAGTGGTTTTGCTTTCCTTCTTTCTTTTTTATACAACGAACTCTTATCAGTTGGGCAGCGATAACCTGTTAGCTCTGTAAGCAACTACTTGGCTCCAAAAGTAGAACGGAGAGCACAGCCGCCGATAGTGCTGGGCAATAAACGCACGAGCATCTCAATTAGTCTGCGAGATATACGTACATATGCAATGCCTCACAACTGGATAGCAAATATTTGCGGAGACTAACAAAATTCTCTAATTGTGCTGGTAATTGGAAACCCAACCAGAGTGAAGAAGAAGCGTATTACAATTAAACATCAATTCATAAATCTGCAAAGCACTTCGTTCGCTCTCCAATTTCAACTACAATACATAGTTGCCCGGCTAAGCTAAGCCCAGCCAGCAAAGCGAAGCTCGTCGAGTGCCCATGCGCCAGAGCAACAACAACGATCGTGCAGCTACTCACAAATACAGATACAGACACAGAGACAAATACGAGCAGAGCAGAGCAGAGCAGAGCATAGAGTTTCACTCAACGAGAGCCGCTGAGCGGTTGTGCCGCATTCCTCAAGAGTCAGTTGAGCATTGGACGTCCTCGTTAGCGGTTGCCTGTGGTGTTCTGTGCGGAGTAAGTGCGACGGTGTTTGGCTGCTGAAGTGGAATTGGTGATCGGTGGTGCTTAATGGTGCTCTGTGTGCGGAGGAGTCTTTGCTTTTCTTCTGGAGCTCTTCTGATTTTTATATGAACGGCTTTTTTGGCTGCCTCGCGCTGTGTGTGTCTTTTTTTTTTCGTTGTTTGCTTGGGCTGTCGCAGACAGCGACAAAAAAGAAAACCTCGAGATAAAAAAGTATCTTGTCGTACATAGATGCATGTATTCGTGCATGTGTGTGCGTATGTGTGTGTGTGTGAGTGTGGCAGACGGTGTATGACGAACTGTTTACTCAAAAGGTTCTTGCCTTCGGTATAGTGATACAATTACAACAACTGAATAAGACAAGAGAAAAAAAAAATGAAAGAAACCTCGATAAATTGTACTTAATAATGAAACAAAGCAACTACGAAAATTGTACAATTTCCGAGTCAGCGGAAAAGTGAGAAGTCGTGTGCAAAGTACACAAAAGCCAAAATGAAAAACTCGAGATGAAAGCAAATGCGATGACAAATGCAACTAAACACATGTGAATGCAACTGCATAAGATTTTCCATGCGAGAAACCAAGAAACTATTTTTATAAATCAAACACAGCAAATGCTTTGGAAAACCCTCAAAAATATCAACCAAATGCAGCATGTGCTAGAAGTAAACCAACAACAACTACTACTACAACAAAAGTATCTACAACAAAAATAAGCCATAAATAAACGCAGTGTTTAATGTTGTGCTGCTGCCCTGTGCATCGTCAAGATACAAACAACAAAAACAAAACCAACAAAAAAAGTAAACCAAAAACCAAAAAAAAAAAAACCAAGTTTCGTAAAAGTATCTGACTCAAGTGTGTGTGCAGTTTCTTTTGAGTGAATTCGTGTTGCTTTTCCTCTACCTGAGCGGCTGTGCATGAGTGTGCGTGCGAGTGAGTGTGCGTGAGCGTATGTGTTGAAGCAGTTGATAAAAACAAACGCTTCAATAAAGATAAATACCAAAAGGTGCAAACAAAAACGACAAACTCACAACAACCACAAAGTGTAGTGCGCCATAGTATGTTGTGTAGTGCAGTGTTAACACTATGTCGTGTCTTCCTCTTCGTCTTCGTCTTTGTCATCGTCTCCGTCTCCGTCTCCATCTTCGTCTCAGTCTCAATCAGAATCAGAATTCAGTTCATGCCAGCAACACATATCGCACTAGTTCGTAGCCCCAAATTCTTATCTCTAAAGGAACTCGTGCTCATAGGCGCGTATCGCAACAGGCGCGCAACAGCTCAACAATTGAAATCTGAATGGAGCGGATGTTCGTTTGGTTCAGTATTAATAATATCTCTATATGAGAACGACAACAACAGCAACAACCTTATATAGAAATGCTTTGAGTCTTGGCCTCAGCTGAACTCATTCCCAAAGGGTTTCACACACACACACACACAGACTCGGGGACTTCGCTTGACATCGGAGAAGAGTGTATCAACTGTTGCCCCGGCGACAGTCTCCAAGATCTTCTAGTAGTGCTTTGCTTCAGTTTCGTAATGAAACAATTTTTTGTTCTTCAAAAATAAAACCAAATGTGAAACGAAACTGATAAGCCCGCAACATAAGTCTACAGGGTTCAACATTGGCTTCAACCACACTCTCTGAGCTATAAATAAATTTTTAATGAAATATTTTGTGCAAACAAACATTTGCTCTCTCGTCTCATACGAAGAGTATTACGAAACTGTGTTTGCTCTGCAAGGAAAATAGAATATCTATATATAAGAAAAAGAATGAAAAAGAGAGAATTGTGATTCCTGGAATATTTTTGAATTCATACAACTTTAGATTTACATATACATATGTATATATACAATCGTCTGCATTTTATTCAGTTTCATTATCTTATCAGGTTCCGCTTTAGACCCACTATAACTGGAAATTTCTTGTAAATCCCCTTTTCATATGCCTTATATGCATCTTTCCATAATATTCTGCAGTATTCAGCAAGTTCTCATAGATTTACCTATTCGTTTCCAAAACTATGTCTTGCAATAGCTATCTTATGATATCATCTCCAATCTTTACTTAGTAAATAGACTCAATTTACTGTGCATATTTGCTAATTAGCGGCAAACACAAAAAGCTACTTAGGCATCTGAGAGATGATCGCTCTTTAAATGAATCTAACCTTGGCCAAGCATAAGATGAATGCAACCCAAGATTCCTTTAACAAGTTCTTAAATAGCCTGCACATTTTCCCAAGTAATTGCAAAGTATTTTTATATTCTTTTTTTGCTGCTTATCCAGATATGTATCTAGATACATGTGTTTGGTGTGCATGGGCGGAGTAAGCGTAGATGAAATCATCGTCTGGAATAATTTCAAGTTTCATTTAGAGGCTAGAGCAACTACAAAATTGCGGTGGGGCGGTGCTGCTGTGGAGTGGGGTTGCTGGGGTGGGGTGAGCACTGAATATATGTACGTAGATATAGTCGGAAACACAAATTTTGTAGTGTTCAATGCTTGAGTTCATTTTCATAAGTGTGTCTGTAGGTGTATGGTTGTGTGTGTGTGTGTATGTTTATTTATGTCTTTGCTGTTCAATTTGTTGTTATTTGAAATTTACATTTGCAGTTTTTTGGTTTTGTTTTGTTTTGTTTACACTGAGAGCGCTGGGGGAATGGGAGCTCTGGTGCGGTTGCCCGGGGCAGACAGATCGTGCAACTTATTGACTGACTGGACAGCAAAGTTTGTTTTTATGAGGCAGCTTCGGGACCGGCGAACGAACTAATTAAAACCGCGCAACAACAAAGCAACTGAAACGCTTTTTTCATTTAGTTCACACAATATGTGCAGCAGATGTGATTTCTTTTCTTTGCCCGAAAATTATAGATCAACGACACATATACAAATGGAACAAATGGAACGGCATTAGCTAATCGACATATTTATATATCTCTTGTGCATTTTACAGCGAGTCAAGCCGCTCAAGAACCAGCCACCATCTCTTTGAGCCACGGATGCCTTTTAACTCAAGTGCAATTATGCTTTAAACTGTGACAGTGAACAACAACTAAAAAACCGTAATACCCACCCAGAATATTAGAACTACTCGATTAATAATTGTTCAGTAAACCATTGCAAATTAGTGTTGCAATTAGTACGTAAAGCAAGCCCAACCCCAGTTCGTAATCCCAGCGCTCACGATGAAGCGCAACAGGCGGAGTCTCAGCGAAGGCTCCACCGCAGCGCGCCTCCTGCTCGCCGGAGCGCTCCTCTGCAGCTGCCTGGCGACCGCACTTGGCGCACAGCGCCAGCCCATTACCTCCGCCGGCGGACACGAGCTGCGCGGCACCACATTCATGCCGGCGCTGGAGTGCTACGATCCCTATGGCCGACCTCAGGTAAGAGCAATGCACAAGGGAAGAGAGTGGAGCAATAGCTCTCTCTCTCTCTCTCCATAAATCATAGGCAAATTGTTTACTGTCAGGCAATTAAATTAAGAGAGAATTGGCACGCGCCTCTGCGGCTGGGTCGATAGAGATGATGGGCAGCAATTTGTATGCAGACATACAAACCAATTGAACAATGAAGACAATTTAGTTGAGCACAAATTGTAGCATAGCTGCCCGTCTCTCTCTCTCTCTCTCTCTCACTCTCTCACTCTTTTCTTATATCATAATGAAACACTTTATAGTCTCAAAATCTAGAGATTTATTCAGTAAAGTAAAGTAGAGACTCTGTCGAATAATATAAATCTAAAATGAGCTTAAATACGACTATATTTTTGAGTATCTTCTCTCTGAACCCTATTTAGAAATGCTTGCCCGAGTTTATCAATGCTGCCTACCAGCTGCAAATTGAAGCGACAAATACCTGCGGTGAACAGGGCGATACTTACTTCTGCATGCAGACAATGAATCCGAATCTGAAGAACTGTGCATTCTGCAGGTAAGCAAGAAATCCACTTGATTTGAAAGGAAATACTTAAATGATGCCACTTAGATATGAAGATCATAATCCCTCGTTCCTGACGGACTTGCACGATCCTCAGAATCCCACCTGGTGGCAATCGGAGACCATGCTAGAGGGCATCCAGCATCCCAATCATGTGAACTTGACGCTGCATTTGCGTAAGTCGAGCAAGCTAGCAAGGAAATTCGAAGTCGAGTTGATGTAATAATTTCTGATTCTAGGTAAATCCTATGATATAACCTACGTACGCATCCTCTTCCGTTCGCCGCGTCCCGAGTCCTTTACGATCTACAAGCGCACCACGGAGAACGGCCCCTGGATACCCTACCAGTTCTACAGTGCCGTCTGTCGGGACACCTACGGTCTGCCCGACTCGCGTGCCATTCGCAAGGGCGAGGGCGAGGCTCACGCCCTCTGCACCGGCGAGTACAGCGACATCTCGCCGCTGCGCGACGGTGAAATCGCCTTCTCCACGCTCGAGGGCCGTCCCAGTGGCATCAACTTCGAGCGCAGTCAGGAGCTGCAGGAATGGGTCACAGCCACTGACATTCGCATCACTCTGGATCGCCTGAATACCTTTGGTGACGAGCTCTTCGGCGACGCTCAAGTGCTGCAGTCCTACTTCTATGCCATCAGCGACATTGCCGTGGGTGCGCGCTGCAAGTGCAACGGACACGCCAGCAAGTGCGTGGCCAGCACCGGAATGCATGGCGAGCGCACGCTGGTCTGCGAGTGCCGCCACAACACGGATGGACCCGACTGCGATCGCTGTCTGCCGCTCTACAATGACGTCAAATGGAAGAGGGCAACCTCAACGGAAGTGAACGAGTGCAAAGGTAGGCAAGCAGCAGGTGCTGAAACTGGTTACAATGCGGCACAGTGGGGCAATGTCAACGATGTGGCGATAAAAAAAAGTCAGCAAAATTTATAGATAAATCAAACTTGGATTTTAGCTGACTCTCGCTGCTCGACAGTTCGCAGTTCGATAGCTCTCGTCCCACTGTGCTTGAGTTCCTATATAAGGACAAACCGCTTTGCCGTTAGCTGCCACAACTGTTGATGCATTAGGCGCTTCCAGCTTCTGTTCAGATGGTCAGTCATGTTGAGGCTGTGCTTGCAAGTTGTCTGCCTGGTGGCATCTGCCACAGGCTACGGCTGGTCCCATGACCATGCCCTAGAAACTAATATGATAGACACCAGCTCTGCCGCGCATTGGTATCTCATCAACTGTAAAGCTGACGAACCTTCAAATTATAAATCCACTCACACTCCAAATTTACCTACAGCTTGCAACTGCAACAACTTTGCGGACAAGTGCTACTTCGATGCCAATCTGTTCAATCTGACGGGGCATGGTGGCCATTGCCTGGACTGCCGCGACAATCGCGATGGGCCCAACTGCGAGCGCTGCAAGGAGAACTTCTATATGCGCGACAACGCCTACTGCGTCAACTGTGCCTGCGATCCCGTCGGCTCCCGTTCGCTGCAGTGCAACAGCCAGGGCAAGTGCCAGTGCAAGCCCGGCGTGACGGGCGACAAGTGCGACCGCTGCGCGAACAACTTCTTCCAGTTTGGCCCCCATGGCTGCCAGCCCTGTGGCTGCGATCCCCATGGCTCCCACGACAATACGCCCGCCTGTGATGCCGAGACTGGCATTTGCTTCTGCAAGGAGAACGTCGAGGGCAGACGCTGCAATGAGTAAGTAGCAGATCGGGAGCAAGGTAACAAATATCTCATCTAATCATTTGACAGATGCAAACCGGGCTTCTTCAATCTGGATAAGAACAATCGCTTTGGCTGCACGCCCTGCTTCTGCTATGGCCACACCTCCGAGTGTCAGACGGCGCCTGGCTACTCCATTGTCTCGGTCACCTCCAACTTCAACAAGCACAAGGAGCGCTGGACTGCAATCGATCTGAATCGCCGCGACGTGGACATCAAATACAATCAGTACAGTCGCAGCATTGGCACCACAGCTCAGGGCAATGAATACGTCTACTTCCAGGCGCCCGATCGCTTCCTGGGCGATCAGCGCGCCTCCTACAATCGCGATCTGAAGTTCAAGTTGCAGCTGGTGGGTCAAGTGGCGCCCAGCAGCAGTGCCAGCGACGTTATCTTGGAGGGCGCTGGCAGTAAAATCTCGCTGCCCATCTTTGCCCAGGGCAACGGCATTCCGGACCAGGGCGTCCGGGAGTACACGTTCCGTCTGCACGAGCATCACGACTACCAGTGGCAGCCCAGCCAGTCGGCGCGTGGCTTCCTCTCCATACTATCCAATCTGACGGCCATCAAAATCCGTGCCACCTATTCCGTGCAGGGTGAGGCCAATCTGGACGATGTGGAGCTACAGACGGCGCATAGAGGCGCAGCCGGACAGCCGGCCACCTGGATCGAGCAGTGCACCTGTCCCGAGGGCTATCTGGGCCAGTTCTGTGAGTCGTGTGCGCCCCGCTATCGCCACAGTCCGGCACGTGGGGGACCCTTCATGCCGTGCATACCGTGCGACTGCCATGGCCATGCGGACATCTGTGACTCAGAGACGGGCAGCTGCATCTGTCAGCACAACACCCAGGGCGATAACTGCGATCAGTGCGCCAAGGGCTACTATGGCAACGCCTTGGGCGGCACGCCTACCGACTGCAAGCGTTGCCCCTGCCCCAACGATGGCGCCTGCATGCAAATCAACGGCGACACGGTCATCTGCACAGAATGCCCAGTGGGCTACTTTGGCTCCCGCTGCGAGCAGTGCAGCGATGGCTTCTATGGAGATCCGACCGGTCTGCTGGGCGAAGTGCGCACCTGCAAGAGCTGCGATTGCAACGGCAACGTCGATCCCAATGCTGTGGGCAACTGCAATCGCACCACCGGCGAGTGCTTGAAGTGTATCCATAACACAGCTGGCGAGAACTGCGACCAGTGCTTGCCCGGACACTTTGGTGATCCGCTGGCCCTGCCCCACGGCAAGTGCGATCGCTGCAGCTGCTATGCCGCCGGCACCGAGCAGGACGAGCAGAGCATCTCGCGCTGCGATCAGGTCACGGGCCAGTGCCAGTGCAAGCCGAATGTGATTGGCCGGGACTGTGGTGAGTGTCAGCCTGGCTACTTCAATATACGTTCCGGCAATGGCTGCGAGAACTGTCTGTGCGATCCCGTGGGCAGCTACAACTCCACCTGCGACAGGTATACGGGCCAGTGCCACTGCAAGCCGGGCGTGGTTGGCTTGCGCTGTGATCAGTGCGAGAACTTCTTCTTTGGCTTCTCCGTGGACGGCTGCAAGCCATGTGAGTGCGACGAGAGCGGCTCCAAGGGCTTCCAGTGCGATCAGAATGGCCAATGTCCATGTAATGACAATGTGGAGGGACGTCGCTGTGATCGTTGCAAGGAGAACAAGTACGATCGCCAACGCGGCTGTGTTGCATGCCCCGATTGTTATAACCTCGTGCAAGAAGCAGCCGATCTGCATCGCACCAAGCTGGCCAACTTGAGCTCAACGCTGGACGAGATTGCCCGGACGCCAGTGACAAACGATGAGGAGTTCGAGGGCAAGCTGAAGGCCGTGCAGGAGAAGGTGGCCATATTGGCTCAGGATGCGCGCTCCGGCTCTAGCGACGGCGGCCAGACCTACGTTGAGGTCATTAACGATCTACACAAGCGATTGGACAGCATGCACAGCCACTTGGTCAGCGCCGATGAGCTGCAGAAGGATGCCAATGCGGAAATCGAGAAGGCACGCAGCAACTACACACAGTTACGCCAGATCATCGATGATGCTAAAAAGGAGCTGCAAGACGCACTGGATCTGCTCAACGATGAGGGCGAACAGGCCCTGGCCAAGGCAAAGAACAAGTCCAAGGAGTTTGGCGAGCAATCGAAACAGATATCAGACATTTCACGCGAGGCACGCGCTCTGGCCGACCGCCTCGAGTCGGAGGCGAAGTACGATCTAACGAATGCCAAGGATGCCATGGATGCTGTAGAGAAGGCCAATCAGCTGGCCAAGAATGCCATCGATCTGCAGCAAAAGGTTGGTGTTGAGCTGCGCTCCGAAGTGCGTCTCGAGCTGAATCAGGTGAAGCAGTCTCTTGGCGCCGTCACCCAAACCTCCAAGGAAGCACTACGCAAGGCCAACGAGGTGTACGATGCGGCTCTCACGCTGCTCAACGATGTCAACGGTCAAACGCAGCCCAACATTGACATCAACCAGCTGAAGAGGGACGCAGTAGCTGCGAATGAGAATGCAGATAATCTGCTCCAGCAGATCAACGAAATGTCCAACAGCAATGGTGAGGTCTTCTCTAACTTCGAAGTTGAACGCGATTTCTCTCAAGTCCTACTCGAACGGTAAGTCATTGTGCTGGTAAGCTATAGAATATAGCCTCAATTAGCAAATTTATTGCACAGCGCCGAAGCCCAGAAGAAGGACGACATTGAGCTATTGCGCCGCGCCAAGGCTGCCTTCGAGCGAGCCAACAAGGCGGTGGAGCAGGGCGACAGTACGCTCAAGGAGGCCAACAAGACCTACAACACGCTTGCGGGCTTCCAGTCGGATGTGCAGAAATCATCGGAGAAGGCTACCTTGGCATTGGAAAAGGTGCCCAGCATCAAGAAGGAAATCGAGAACGCTGACAATCTAATACAGCAGGCGGGCAATGCTCTGCAAGGCGCCAATAAGAACGCTACCGAGGCCAAGAACAATGCACAAGAGGCCCAGGAGAAGTATGCGGAGCAAGCCTCAAAGGTAAGCAAACACTGCACCGTATCTTATAGTATCTTGTATATCCTCTACTTATTGGGTATATAACCACAGGATGCTGAGCTGATACGTCGCAAAGCCAATGAGACAAAGGTCTCTGCCCGCAAGCTGCGCGCCGAGGCTGACGAGTTGAACCATCGCGTGACGCTGACGCAAAGAGACATCTCCCAGCTGGAAGAAAACTCAACCGAAGATGATAATCTTGTGGACGATGCCAAGCGCAAGGTGGGTCAGGCCAAGGCAGACATGCAGGACGCCAAGAAGCAAATTGAAAAGGCCAATAGTGAGTTGTCAGCGATCAAGGATGAGTTGGAGAACTTGAAAGATATCAATACATCGGATTTGGACAAACTGGGTAAGCGAACAAGTGACTGGATCTCAATAGAGAATTTCATTCCTAATAATAATCTTTTTGTGTTCTATCAGAGAATCGGCTCACTGAGGTGGAGGGTAACATCATTCGGGTTAATCTAACTGGACGTATCGAGAAGTACCGGGAACAGCGGAGCATACAAAAGAAATTAATCGACAAATACGAAGCTGATTTGAAAGAATTATCCGGAGAAGTGGATAATATACGTTTAATATCTGAAGCACTGCCAAGTAATTGCTTTAGACGCAACCGTCTAGAGCCCTAGACATATAGACCCTAACTAAGTGCACTACCAACTACCAACTACTTCAATTAACATCTAAGTACGAGGCGAGGACGAACAAATGCGGAATTATCCGTACACGTAGCCGTTGAATGAAATTATGTAATTTTAGTCTTTTAGCTGAAATATTTTGTTTAGTAAAAGAAAGAAACAAAAGAGCCAACGATAAACAAGAAACGAGCAACAGAAAATGCAAAACATTTAGCTTTACAAAGCATCGTTCGATTTATTATTATCGGTGTAACATGATGCCAATATTGAAACAAATTTCCTAAACTGCCAATTGTGCTTTCGATTCAAGCCAGCCATGGACGACTGTATTATACTATACTATATATTGAAAACTGTGCCGTGTACCAAAACTTTCAAACAATATTGCATTTCTATATCTTTCCTCCCCTTTTATGGCTATGCCACATTGCAATCTATTCTATATATATATATTAACATACATTTGTCATCTACGTTTAATGTGCCAATTACAATATTTTCTACTGTGCTTAAGTCGCCTTATGAATTTCACCTTAAAATAAAATTTTCCAACGTTGTAATTTTTTGTATAAAGTACGAAATTGATATTATTTGTTATTCATATTGCGCAACAGCAAATAGAAATTGCCACTCAACCGAAACACCTGACAGAAATTCCAAAAAAAGGTTAAGTACTACATATACATATATTTAGATTCTCGTTGCTCACCTGAACTAGCAACTGATTGGATAATTTCGAAAAGCCGCCGACACTTAGTTGAAAGGTTCGCATCGAAAAAAGCAGCATTAGTCGAATGATAAGCTTAAAGTCCTTCGATTCGTTGTACCATGCGCAGTTGTACCACTCGTGAAATAACAGTTCACTCTATAAGAAATTATATTATGGTCTGCACATTTGAGTTCCTCAAGAATTACCTGTGTCTCCAACCTCTGCGCATTGACATTATATAAACTGATTTCGAAAAGAATTGTCAAAAAGTAAACAAATATTGGAAACAACTTGGACCAATCAACTAGCTGCAATATTCGATAATTTTTAATGAAATCCATTTATATTTGCGATGTCTTACCATAATATTATAAAGCAGCGTGCACAAAAAAAATGTGCTGACCACGCACTGTACTAAAACAATAGAGCTGAAAAGATTGTCAACCTGGGCATGATGTCTGCAGTTGGGAACTATTAAAATTTATACACAATTCAGATTTGGATAAGATCTTTACCTGGATAGTCGGGCAAAAAGCTTGGCACAGCAACGCAAATATGAAACTCTCGATGTTTTGGGTACGATTTCATCATTTGTCGAATTTTTTATCAAATCTCGCAGCAGCTCAAAGAGGCAAACCTCATGATTTGTGAGCACAACAAAGAGACTATTGAAGCCAAAGACATCTATAAAAGAAAACGAAAAGTAAATATGTATACGGATATGGAAAACTCTATATAATAGCCAGAGTCAGATCGTACTGAAAAAACAATAGGGGGGTCCAGATTGCTCCACAAAAAAACGCACAGTGAAAGAAGGATATTCATGATTGCCAACTTGAACGAAGGGCATTATGGCGGGATATGCTATAAAAATTAGAATTCTTATATATATGCATAAATCTATGATTTTTCAATAAATAAACTCACTTGTAGTAATTTTACAAATATTTCGCGCAACATAACAATCGTATACATATAGCACATAGGGTCTTGCGCAATAAAAAATAACTGGCAATGAAACGATTCTGAAGAAGAACATAACCTGACTATTAATACTTTTCCAGCTATCTCTTATCTTTGTCATCAATGCCTTGCACAAGACTTGATTGTTGGTTAAAACTGGGAAAGAAATTAATTAAGTTTATAGTAAACTGCTTCAATTTCCCAATGCTTACCCACATCAAATATACCCAAGTTCTTCAAGATATCACACGTTTCTGAGATCCGCATTAAATCTGTACAGACGTCGAGATGATAGTGAAAATACGTAGTTTTGACTATGTTCATAATTATTTGAAAGCAAATTATCATAGGCTGAAAGCAAATATTTGTTAAATGAAGTTTTTAACCGAGCCGAAAACAAACCTCCACATAGGCTTGAAAGGACACCATATAATTTTTAAGAACAAAGTTTATAAGGCCCCACGTAAGATAAAAATTCATCAAATATGCCAATATGCGAAAGCTAAACATAAATTTTCGAAGTTTAATGTCTTCCTAATCATAGGTAGCACTCACAATCCACAGTATCGAGAGGTTCGCTTCCGGGGCGCCATATTGATGCCCAATGCAAAGCTGCAGTACTCCACCCATTTTACGCCCGGATTTGGCAACTCCATTTTTTCTAACTCCTGATCCAATATGTTCGACATTATGGGTGTAAATATTTTGACTGTGAGCAGTCATCTATCCACAACTAGCTTTTATAGTAAATTTTCAGTGGGAGGTTCATCGTCAATGAGTTTTAAATTATATGTTTTGTTGGCTGTATAACTAGGCAAATTACTTTATTGTATTGAACATTAGGCAATATTGCTTAAGAATGCAAAAAAGTGAGGCCCTAACAAGGATATCATTAAAAATTGAATGAATATTAGGAAGAATAATTGATTTTGGCTAGGCAACACTTATTGAATTATTCGCTTCAGCAATTTGACTCAAATTATCCAAATCATATAGCGGCACAGCGAATGAATAAGTTATCTAAGCTTAACATATAGAGAATTTGTTTTATTGAATGTAATATACACGAGAACTATTGAAAGCAATGATTGACAATATGCGTTAAGAATTTCAAATTTTAACAGATTTTCGCGGCATAATTTTTTTGCCAAGGTTGGCAGCGCCAACAGCTGTTCGCGTTCGCAGAATGCAACAGATGGGCAGCACAGTCGTAATGTAAATCGCATATTGTTTGTTTACTTGCCTTCCCTCAAATAGTTTGCAATTGAGTTGAGAATAAGAACGAGTGGCTAAAGGCTACGCCTTAATGACCAATATGAGCCCAGCCAAACAGGAACTGCTACAGCCGGTGAAGACAACGAATCCCATTGTCTATTTCGACATTAGCATTGGCAAGGAGTGCGGTAAGCGAAACGAGCAGCTCACAATCTGTGCTTGACCTAGTTAAACGCTATCGTATGTATGTATAATTTCATATCGCAATTTCTGTGCACAGCGGGTCGAATGATAATTGAACTGCGCAAGGATGTTGTGCCAAAAACAGCGGAAAATTTCCGTGCCCTCTGCACGGGCGAACGTGGCATAGGGCAGCTGGGCGAGCGGCTGCACTACAAGGGCACGCGTTTCCATACGATCAAGCGAGTGTTTGCGGTTCAAGGTGGCGATGTTGTGAACAACGATGGCACCAGCGGCGAAAGCATCTATGGTCCACTGTTTGAGGATGAGAACTTTGAGCTGACGGTGAGTGGAGCGAGGGATACAAGTGATTCATTGACAACTAACACCGTCTTGACTGCAGCACAATGAGGAGGGCGTGGTCAGCATGGCCAACTATGGCACGCCAAACACAAACAACTCACAATTCTTCATCACAGCCGTCGGCTGTGAGAACCTCAATGGGATCAACGTGGTTGTGGGCCGTGTATTGCGGGGCCTGGGCATCATTGCCGAAATGGAACAGAACTGCAACGATGAAGCCCAACCAACGACAGATATAACAATAACAGACTGTGGTGAGCTGGCTCCAGGCGAGGATTGGGGCATTGAGTGCAGTGATGAGACAGCAGACAAGCTGCCACCCTATCCCCAGGATTGGACGGGCAAATTCAAGAAGCCAACGGTAAGAAGCCAGCGATCTCTATTATGCAATCGTGATTCATGTTAAACATTTGTTGTTGTTCTTCGTGCTAGTGTGACGCGGCTGTTAGCCTCCTCACGGGCATGCGGCAGTCGGGAAATCACTTCTTTCAGCTGGGTCGCTACTATGAGGCCCGAGCCAAATACCGCAAAGCGAATCGTTATTATACGATGCTGCGCCGCAACTTTGACTGGCAGGAGCTGAAGCGGAGTCAAGGTGACTCAGAACTGAGAAGATTGGATGCCTTTTCCGTGGTGAATAACATCAACATGGCAGCTGTCGAGCTTAAATTGGGCAACTATCAGCATGCCAAATATGAGTGCTCCGAGGCCATACGCTTGGATCCTAAATGCAGCAAAGCATTCTATAGACGAGGACAAGCGCAACGTGCCTTGCGCAACTACGAGGAGGCCATAAAAGATCTGAAGCATGCACACAGCCTGCTGCCAGAAAATAAACAAATCTTGAATGAACTGAACAGTGCCAAGCAGCTTCTGGCCGAATACAATAAACAGCAACGAAATGCGCTCAAGAATCTGTTCAACTAGTTAAGAACATTTATGTATATGAATATGTGTGTCAAAACATCACACCTGACTAAATGATAAGCTAACAAATTTGCTCTATTTACTGTAGGATGTCGCAGTTCAATGCTGACCGAAAAAGAATACAAATAATTTGTAATTAAATGTTTTTATTATTATACAAAATATTGCAAATTGTTGTTCAATGTTCCCAAGGGTTAATCAAAAGGCTCACTTCTGGAGCTTTATATGTCAAAACTAATTGCGATCAGTGTTAAATATTTATGTATATATATTATGTAATTATATCGTACTTAAAACACATTTGTTCATACACAATAATGCTCGTTCAACTCTCAACTGAATGATAGTGCCCTATAATGCTGCTTAAATATTAACAACTAAATTTGATTACATATCAAAATGAGCTTAAGTCCTCACTAATTTTAAACATATGTAATGTTCCTCTATACTTAAAGATTTGTCACAATGTCCTGCTCGCTGCGATGCAAATTGCCCGAACCAACGCCCATAGAGTAGCTCTTCATATTGATTTCCATGTTGGTCAGAGCGCTCGAGACATGATACAAGTTCTCTGAGAGTATAGCGTATACTTCGTACAGCTCCGAGTCCGATTTGGATACAATGAAGGCCTCTGCTGGTCAAACAAATGTGTTACAAGTAGTTCTTATAGTTACGTCATTCGAACACAAACCTGTGCGATCCTTCATAATGCTATGTGCATACGCATTCAATATGATTGAAATCTCATCGAACTTGATGCGACTATCCAAATTGCCATAGCTAAATATAGTCAGACTCTGATCACCTGCACTCAGCGTGGACACGCGTCGATACTGTCGCACATGAGAAATGGCGCTCGACCAGCGCTGCAGATCAATATGTTCGTGCAGCGACGCCTCAAATTCTTCCTGCGTCATGGGCAAGCTTGGCGAGGGCGTGGGAGTATGCTCACCCTCCGTCGAGGTGGATGACTCCAGGCAATCTAGTTCAGCTTCGCTGGTACAGCGCACCAAAGCATCTCGCACCAAGGCGTAGAGATCGGATATGTCGTGCATCTTTAGGAAAAGTAAAAAATTAGCATTAAGCACATTTTCCTAGACGCTTTCACTTACGTTTTCATTGACGCGAAAATGATTAACGACATTTGAGGATATTTTATGATTCGATTCAATCAGCAAAAGCAGCTGAAACATTAGCTTATACAAAGAGCGACCCAAGTCCAGAACAACTTCCGTGGAGGCGGGATCGAAAGGCATGCACGCAATGCTGGAACTGCTGGGTAGCTCCATGCTAGAGGCCGCCACATCGGATTCATTAAAGAGGGACAGTTTGCAAGATGTCTTCACGGCATCCAGGCACTGCAAAATGGAATGAAAATGAAATGGAACCAAATGAAAAGAGATACTATAAATAGAAGTAAAAGTACTCACCTCCAGTACCTGATCTTTGCGATCAAAGAACGTCTCCAGATGCTCTTGCACTTCCAGCACATTGAATCTTAATGTTTCCAACAGCTTCGGCGTGGTGGGCAGCATCTCACTGCACCAAACACGCGGCGGATCGGCGCGTGCACTCAATAAATCCGTAAAGAGGGATATGCGATTTCCTAGCTGTGAGCCGATGCCAGTGAAGAATTTCTTGGCCTCCTTGGAAATGCTGATTGTCTTGAAGGTCAGCTCCTTGACCAGCCTATATAGCTGCTGCAGCAGCTCAGAAGTGTGTGCCGAGGGTTGATTAACCAGCATCGACTGCAGTTGACGGCGCCAGTTCTCCTCAGCTTCATCTCGCACGGCGGCCCCAAAGCGAATGATGCCCTGCATATGTGGCGAGGCATTGCATGGCGTGATGTCACCCAAGTCTCCTGCACTGGAGCCGCTGGTGTCACTGCGCGACACCGAATTACGACGACGCCGCTCCCGCAAGCTCAGCGAAGAAGGCGGTGCGCCGCCTAGGAAGGACTTCAAGAACGATTGGCGGTGATCGTCGTCCAGCGGAGATTCCGACTCGGCTTCTTCATCAGATGAATCGTCTGCGGTCTGTCGCTTGCGCTTACTCAGAATGGGAGTCTTATCGCTGAAGCTATCCTCCAGCGCTGACGAATGGCCGCCCTTGATAGAGCCGCCCATGCCGCTGCCGAGATTCAGAAGATCTTCATCACCCTCAAAGAGCTGATGGCGGCGCACGCCCCAATTAAAGTTATCCGTGGATTCACCGGCAATGCTGTCCTCATACTCCAGGAAATCAAAGTCCTTGAACACGGTAAAATCGGGCTGACCATCGTCGCGACGCGAGCCGCTGCTTAGATCGCCCTGCGGACCTGATGTCTCCTCCGTCGATGAGGCGGCCGATGATTGCCGTTCCATGAGATCCGAGGATTGGCTAAAGATGACCTGAATATTGGAAAATAAACGTTGCATCAGTATGTAATCTAGGCAGAGAGCACATGCAGTATAAACACTCAAGTAGATATATCAAACATTAAGTAAGAAAAGAGTGGAAAGCTTACGCTTTGTCTGGTCGCAATCGATCCTGTTAGTAGCGATGTGCTCAGAGACTGAACGTATTTAAACAAAGAAAAACGAAACAAACCGTTTGAAATAAAACAGAGACGCATGCAAGAAGAGTGCGGAACGAAAGAAAAATGCAAATGAAACAAAAGAGAACTAGCGATGCCCAAAAGAGATGTCCCAGACTGAGAACACGCCTTCAGCATGTGTACGAAATGTGTGGAATGAAACGGATGAGCAATGCATAAAGGTACACGTGAAATGAAACGAGCCAAAACAAATTACGTAAACAAAGAAAAAGCTACACGTGACATTTAGAAACATGTTCTTTTACCTTTGAGCAAATAGAGTTTAGAAAATCGTCCTATAATTAGGTTTGGTTCGGGTTGTTAATGATGATATAATGGCGTGTTAGATTTGGTTTGATATTGGAATTGGTTTATATCAACATTGATTTATAATTTAGTTTATATTTTTGTTTGTTACATGAAAGAAAAAGAATCAGAAATAAATAATTTGGTAGAGATGATGGCCATATTAGAAAGCAGGAGCTGAAAAAGCTAGCGCTAGGGGAGCTCAAAGCATGCACCTGGCTAATGTACAAGCTGGAAACCCCCTTTCGAACCCCGTGTGGCCAGAAACTTACCGATGGCGACTTGGGCAAGCCGACCCGCTGTCCACAGGTGGTCAACAGATTGACCAGGCACTCGCGCACCCGGCACTGCGACATCCAAGGACGCTTCCAACCGCTCAGTGGCACGGTATCCGCCGGCGAAAGGCTGGCACTGCGCCTGGGTGAGTTGGGTGTGCCAACAACACTGCCAAGGCCAATGCCGTGCTGCTGTTGCTGGTGCTGTTGGGCAGCGGCGGCAGAGGCGCCAATGGCAGATACATTCCCATGAGCGCGCTGTTGTTGCAGCTGTGCACCCGCCTGCTGTGCAGGCGCAACTGTCACGGTGGTGGCATTGGTCAGTGTGGAGTTTAGCGACGAGCTGCCCGTGGCGGATGCTGCAGAGCCCGATGTGGGTTCCTCGGTTTTGAGCAAGATGCGACGTCCGATCAGCGGAGTTTGCGACACGTCGAAGGTGAACTCCATGGTGCGGCCGGCCAGTTCCTTTTTACAGAACATATCCGAGTCCGGATATGCGCCATAGAAGGAGAACGATAAGCCGGCGCTGCTGCCATCGCTGGGCGGCACCACTTGTAGCGACGAGCTGCGTGTAACGATGAGCTTTAAGATCTTCAAAGAATCCTTCCAGTTCACAGTCTGCAAAGTAATAGTAGAGTTAGCGCAAATCCAAACATCTATCTGATAAACTCACATCCAAATATTTGCCTATGGCACGCAGCAAGTCCGCATTGATATTCTGTGCCTGTGGCGCCGATAGATCCACATAGTGTAACATGCAGTGAATGACATTGAGGACCGGCACTTGGACCTGTTGAGGTCCCTTCTCCAGTACCTCGATGAGGAAGGCCAGCATGTGGAGGCCCATGTGAGCGTATGTGTCGTGCAAGTACTTGACCACACACTTGGTCCACTGGAATGATTCCTTGCAGAACGTTTTGCGACTGTACAAGGTCATCACTGTGCCCAGATTCTCCAGCTTGGCGCCCAGCTCCGTGGACACGTGTGCAATATTCTCAGCGCTGCGTATACAAATCTCATTGGCATCCTCATAGTGGAGCAGCATATACGGCAGCAGCGCAATCACGTTCATGGGAAAAGCGCAGCTCTGTGTGGGATCACAGACTGGCAGGCTGAGCAGCGGTGCGAACTGGGACAGCAGCGTGATTGTTGGCTCATAGGTGGCACTGTGGGTGCAGCCCTGATGGAAAAATAGAGAAAAGTTGTTTACCGGCTTGCGCTGTCTGTGATCAGTCGTCATTGGCTCACCTTCAATAGCAGCGCATGCACGCCGGGGTATGCAGTCCATTTGAGCTGCTGCTGCAGCTTCTCGACTTTGTCCCGCGCATCGGGTCGATCCAGCGGCAGGCGATGCAGTACGCGGGTTAGCAGACGCAATGCCAGCAAGAACTCGTGCTCATAGTCCGACTCGAGCAGTGAAACCGATAGCCAGAATAGCTGCGCCAATATGGTCATCTTGTCATCCTGCGTGGCCGTATCGCCTAGCATCTTCAGGCTCTGTGCGCTACGTGAGCGAGACAAGGCGGAGCCAACGCCACCCACGCCAAACTTGCAGACAACACTGCGCTCCAGCTCGATGCCTGAGGCGCGATTCCTCAGCTCCACCTGCTTGTCGCAGGGCGAGTTGTTGGCCTTGCGGCCGCAATAGGACACCGAGTAGCTGGTGCTGCGTCCATGACTGGGTATGGAGTAGTTGGAGGATTGCGGTGTCATGCCCGACGGCGACTTCTTGCCAGGCAGTATAGAGTTGGGCCCGCCGTCCTTGTTGTTCAAATTGGGCGTGCTCTTGAAAATGTCCTTCATGACATCAAGCGGCCGGAAGTCAGAGTCCAAGCTGTCGACAGCAGCTTCCAGCGTCAGCAGCAGCTCCGTTACGTAGCCCTGCATATCCTCGCCCTGCTCCGCTACAGTCTCCACCAGACGGGACAGTATGTCCGAGAGCATGCGTGAATTGATGGGCACATTGAGGGCGCGAAAGATTTGGAGGCAACGCCCGGCGTAGTGACGCAAGGAGCAGGACAAGCCCAGTTGTAAAGCCGTCTGCGCCCATCGCTCGGCAATGCGCGCCTGTGGATAGCTATCGGCAAACACCTTGACCATGTGCTTCAGGAAACAGCTCAGCTGCTCCGCTGACTTCACCGACCACACCTTAGCTGTGATATCCTCGTAGTTCCACAGCGGCTGGCTGGTGTCCTGAGCTAGGAACTTGATCAAACTCTTGATAACATGCGCTATGGGCATGCTGGGACCCGGCTGGGGAGGGGCGTGCTCATCCGGCACCTCCGAGTTTTCCGTATTATTCGGATTGATTTGCAGCGCAGCGGGCGTAGCAGTCAAAGCTGCTGGCGTGGCACTTGCCCCTGCGCCCTGCACTGGTGGCGGCTGCTGCTGATTCTGCGGCGTCTGCGGCAGCGTCTGCTGGTTGGTCGAGTGCGACGCAATGATCGTCGAGCTCGAGAGATTATGCTGCAGTGCATAGGCAGCCGCCTGGGGGCTTACGTGCAGCAGATAGCTATCGAATTGCTGGTGCAGCTCCGTAAAGTTATTGTCAATCACGGGCAGAGCGGGCACAGTCAGGCCCAAATCCAGCTTGCTCGTCTCACTGTTGAGCAGAATGCGAGCGACCGTCAGATGATCATTGTGCTCAGCCAGGACAATCAGCAAATTGACACAGAGCTGCTTGCAATGCTGGCGCACAATGACGCGGGTGTGATCAAGGCCCAAGAACAAGATGTGCAGCATCAGTGGCAAATGAAGCGTCCAATCGATGCCTGGAATGCCATCCACCACAATGTCTGTGAGCAGCATGACAGCCACATTACAGCTGCAAGAGAAAAGATATGGAGATTATTATAGAGCAAAACGTTCTCTAAGATTTTGTGGAACCAAAAAAAAAAAACTTTTAAGAACAACTTTGTACTCTTGATATTGCTGAGGATCTTCAATTTGGAAATGCTTAGCCTAATGCTCGAACACATTATTTGTTAAAACTTATTTTGTTTACCTCGCGAATGAATCATGCTAATTAGTATATCTTGCCAAGGGGCTTTACCTAAAAAGTGGGTCAGTTTACTATATAAGCTCCAACTCCAGCTCTCACTACTTTCATTCAGAATGAAGGTGGTGATAATATTTCTGCTCTTTACCCTTGCTCTAGCAAGCAGCTTGGCTGCCGTTGAGGAAGTATATGATGACTTAAGACTTGATGTGGAGCCAGTGTCAGAGCCGCTCCTTGAACTGGAGCCTCAAAACATCATCACGAATGGCTATATAGCACCAGAGGGCAAAGCCCCGTATATTGTGGGTCTGCTATTCAGTAAAAGAAATTCAGGCGCATGGTGTGGCGGCTCAATAATTGGAAATACTTGGGTCCTAACCGCTTCACATTGCTCAAAGGGATTCAGCACGGTGACCATTTACTACGGCTCAAATCGTCGTGCCCAGGGCACAGTGATACACACTGTGAACGCGGAAAATATCATTAACCATCGCACTCATGACATAGCATTGATACGCACTCCACACGTGGCCTTCACCGATCGCATCAACCTGGTCAAACTACCCAGTGCGAGCAACTCTGGTGAACTCTATGTCAATAAACGGACAACGGCGTGCGGCTGGGGTATAACCACCTCCAACAGGACACCCGACCAACTGCAATGCATCGATGCGACTGTTATATCGAACCAGCAATGTGCCAGAGTCTATGCGGCTGGCTCAATCAACAGCCAAATCCTCTGCATAAGCACTCCAGGCGGCAGATCCATTTGCTCTGGCGACTCGGGCGGACCGCTTGTCACACAGGACAATACTATTCTGATTGGCGTTAGTCAGTTCGTTTCTTCCAGAGGCTGCACAGCTGGACATCCGGCTGGCTTCACTCGTGTTACGAGTTTTCTAGCTTGGATACGTCAGCACACTGACATCTCGTACTAAATCCTTATAACTATTCGCAAGCACAATCATAATTGAAGAAAATTTGATTTAATAAAAATTACTTACTGCAATCAATTGCATTATCTTTGTGATTATTAAAATAATAATAGAATAAAGAGTAATAAATATGGTAACAGATTTTTTAAACTGTCATTGTAATCTAGTATAAATTAATTAAAAATGCCTAAAGAATATACGCAAAGAGGTATATAGCATGTTATTATACCAATTCTAAATATGGGTGAATCAGTATAATTTAATGCTTCGGGGGTTTTCTTAACAAATGGCTCGTTATGTGGAAGATCGATAAGCGGAAAATCCACTTGTGGCGGTGACTCCGATGGCCCCTTGGTTACACACTCTGATCGCACCTTGTTTGGTATAGCATCATTTTTCTCTGGAGCTGGCTGCATGTATGATGACCCAGCTGGTTTCACTAGAATTACGGCTCACTTGGACTGGATACGAAAAAGCTCTGTCTGGAGTTCCTTACTAAGAAACTAAACATCATCACATAGACAAAGTGTAAAACTAATAAAGGTGGATTCTATACAAACATAGTTTGTAGATATGTCTTAAGCTTAACTGATAAACAGTGAACCATTATCTTGTATTTCAATAGCTTATTTCTTTTATCATAATATATATTATCATCAGACAATTCTAAACGATGACGTAGTTAATTCCTGACACAGACTATATAAGATCGTAGCTGCTAACGATCAATCACATTCTACTCAAGTATGACAGCTCTCGTGTTACTGCTTTCATTGGTTTTTGCCGCTGCTTTTGCAAACAACAATCAGACCACGACAAAGATCTCACTAGAGGATCTGCCCGTCGGTACTTTTATTACCAATGGCTATCCTGCCCCCGAGGGCAAGGCACCTTACATCGTCAGTCTGCTGATCAGAACTGATAACAGCAATAGTGCTGCAATAGGCAGTGGCATCATCATCGGCAACACTTGGGTCCTGACAGCAGCTCATTGTCTAACCACGGACTATGTGGACATTCATTATGGCTCCACTTGGCGAGTCAATGGCCAGTATCATCACAGTGTTCGAAAGGAGAACTTCATTCGCCACCATCTCTGGCCCGATACCAATGGCAATGACATTGGCCTGATTCGCACTCCGCACGTTGACTTTACGCCAACAGTCAACAAGGTCAACCTGCCCAGTTTCAGTCAACAGAACGAACTCTTCGAGAACTGGTGGGCAGTAGCTTGTGGCTGGGGAGGACAGGCCAATGGACAATTGGCTGACTGGCTGCAGTGTGTCGATCTACAAATCATGAGCAACAACGAGTGCTCAAAGACCTATGGCAATCTACCAAACGGCATACTGTGTGTGGGCACACCTGATGGAAAATCCACCTGCGGTGGCGACTCCGGTGGCCCGTTGGTGACGCACGATAATCCCATTCTAGTGGGCGTAACATCTTTTGGTTCGGCAGAGGGCTGCACAGTCGGACACCCAGCTGGTTTTACCCGCGTGACCGCTCACTTGGACTGGATACGTGAACACTCCGGAATCGCTTACTAATCAACTCCAATTTGCATATATAACAATCTAATATCTTGTAATGCATACATATATAAACTTATATTAGCTATCATTAAATAAAACATAATCGCATTTCAGTATTTATGACTTCTTAATGTTGTCTCTAGCTTGTGTTAAAAATTAAAGAACTGGAGCATCATAAAGATCTGAAATATTATATTTCCACTTAAGAGTCAAATACTACCTAATGTCTTAGCTCATTAATACTCAATCATTATCTTCCATGTCAACCACTTCTTTCTCTTATCGTTCATAGTTCTTAGGAAAGAAAAGTGTAATTACTTTCTGCATCTAGCTATAAAAGATCGGAGCAGTAGACGTTATATTCACTTTCTAGTTAAGCATGAAAGTTCTTCTGGTAATAATTTCCTTGGCCTTTGCCGTCGCCTCCGCGGAAGACAATCAGACCAAGATCACGCCCTCACCAGACGATCATGATCCCAGCAATATCATTACCAATGGCTATGCAGCCTACGAAGGCAAAGCTCCCTACATCGTCAGTCTGCTGATAAGAACTGACAACAGCAATAGTGTTGCAATAGGCGGCGGCACCATCATCGGCAACACCTGGGTTCTGACTGCCGCTCATTGCCTAACCACGGACTATGTGGACATTCATTATGGCTCCAATTGGCGTGGCAATGGCCAATACTATCACAGTGTGCGGAAGAACAACTTCATTCGTCACCATCTCTGGCCCAATACCAATGGCAATGACATTGGCCTGATTCGCACTCCGCACGTTGACTTTACCTCAAGGGTGAACAAGGTCAATCTACCCAAATTCAATCAACAGAAAGAGCTCTTTGAGAACTGGTGGACAGTTGCGTGTGGTTGGGGAGGGCAGGCAAATGGAAAACTGGCTGATTGGCTGCAGTGCGTCGATCTACAAATCATGAGCAACAAAGAGTGCTCTAGGAGCTATGGCAATCTGCCCAATGGCATATTGTGTGTGAAAACACCTGGTGGAAAATCCACCTGCGGAGGTGACTCTGGTGGCCCATTGGTGACACACGATAACCCTATTTTGGTGGGCATAACATCATTTGGTTCGGCAGCTGGCTGCACAGTCGGACACCCAGCTGGGTTTACTCGCGTGACCGCTCACTTGGACTGGATACGTCAAAATTCTGGCATCGCGTACTACTAAACAAAGAAGCTTCTTGGGCTAAAGTAAAAGTCTAATAAACCTGCATTCTATATAAAATTACTCCTATGGATAATTAATTTGAAGAAGAATATTTATTAAGCTTGTGTAGACAGTTAAGAAATCTGAATAGTAATCCAAACCAATTCTAGTAACAGTAACCATAGACGCGAACTATCCATTTGAATGAATAATGTCTTAAGCCATTAGCTATCTACAACTATCTTCAATTACCTTTCTTTATTACAATTATCACTTGCTATCACCAGACCAAGTTAAGCAACTGGTGTAATTAGTAGGTAGAGTTTCCTATATAAGATCGTAGCTGCAAGTATTTTTACATTCAAATTAAGTATGAAAGTTTTCGCTCAAATTCTTTTGCTGGCTTTGGCCTGCACCACTGCTCTTGGCAATCGAACGACCTCAACGGATGAGGAGCATAATCCCAGCAACATTATTGCCAATGGCTATGCAGCCTACCAAGGAAAAGCGCCCTACATTGTCAGCCTGCTATTGGAAAACTACGACGGAACTCAAGTCGGAATTTGCAGTGGCGTAATCATCTCTAGTTCTTATGTGCTGACTGCCGCCCAGTGCCTGAGCACGGACGTTGTGGAGGCTCATCTTGGTGCCATTTCCCGAGGCAATGGTCAATATCATTTTAAAGTTTACGAATATGATTTCATTCGTCCCGAGAACTGGCCGTCCATGGGCTATGACATCGGACTGATTCGCATTCCCTACGTGGAATTCTCAGCAACCGTAAACAAGATAAATCTGCCAAGACTTAGTCAAAAGAACGAACGCTTTGAGAACTGGTGGGCAGTTGCCTGTGGCTGGGGAGAACTGGCCAATGGTCAAACTGCCGATAGGCTGCAGTGTGTCGATCTACAAATCATGACTAATAACGAGTGCCATGAGAGCTATGGCGTTCTGCCACCGAACGTAGTGTGTGCCAGAAGCACAGGCGGAAAGTCCACATGTAGGGGTGACACCGGCGGCCCACTGGTAGCCCATGACGAGCCCGTTTTGGTGGGCATAACATCATTCGGTTCGGCTGATGGCTGCACGTTCGGAAAACCAGCTGGCTTTACCCGTGTTACCTCCCACTTAGATTGGATACAATCTAACACGGGAATTTATTACGAATAATGTGTGAGTCTTTGAAAATAATAAAAGAGCATTCATAAAAGCAAACAAAATTTGTACTCTTCTATATTTCCCTGTGGAGTCACTAAACGGTGATAATTTGCTTTTCACTCACCGATGGAATCCGCTGATAGGTAAACTGACATCGGGTAAAAATTCGGTAAGTGGTGCAAAGTAACCGCCATATTCGGGCATGGGCAGCGGATGGGGATGTAGATTGGCCGGCGCCTCCGCTGTATTGCGTAGCTCCACATTCTCTTCCTGCCGCAGCTCCGGATCATTGATTAGTATGTCCTCGGGTCGCGGCAGTATGGACGGACCCGAGGCAGCACGTATTTTATCAGCACCCCGAGGCGGCCGACTGCCTCCGGTAATGGGTGTAACAGCAGCGGCAGCCGCAGCCGCGGCTGCCTGTGTATAGGCGCGTATGCCGCTGTCCGATTTGCAGGTGCTAAAAGTGCCGAAATAAACTAATTAGTTTCAAGTTACTTTTGCATTTTAGTTAAATATAACAAACCCAATTTTAATGGGATCCTCGCCGCTGTGCCGCTTGGTGTGTATGGTGCCCTTCTCCACGGTCAGGTCCTGAGTGCGCGAATCGTTAATGCCGCCCACAGGTTGTCCTGGCAATCAAAGAGCAAAGTCTCAATTAAGCTGCGAAAATTAGATTTCAGCTGCAACTCACCATCGGCGCTATGACTGGAAGCCTTTCGCATGCTGGTCAGCCTGTAGAAGGGCGGTGTTTCAGTGCGCTCGATAAGGCAGTTGAGAGTCTCCACTGTCTGCAGCTCGGCCATTAGCTCATCAAGCAAGCGATCCGGACAGCTGCGTGCCAAATAGAGAGCCACGCGCTTAGCCTGAAAATACATAAGTTAGTTGCCGAAAACGTGACCAAAATGCATGCCACTTACATAAGGCAACAGCTCGGTGGGTGCCATGCCACTCATAATGACCAAATAGCGCAGGATGACCTTTAGATTGTTGGGCCAGAACTGACACAAGGTGCCCCACAGCTCCTCAATATCGCGCGGATGAGCATCCGAAAACTATACACAGTCAAGACAACAGACAAAGAGAGAGGGAGAGAGAGAGACAGTTAAGTAGTGCATTAATATAAATGTTAAGTCTACTCACCTTGGCAGTTATATAAAATAGATTATTCAAAATCATTTCTGTGGCCTCCGTTGAGCCGGTGCCCTCACGACGTCCGCGTGTGCCCGAGTCGGGGAAATACTGCAAATGAAGCATAGCAATAGATAAAGCACAACAGACAAGAGACTTTACAGGCACGCCTACCATAATATAGGAAAGGGGCGTCGCAGGCGGCACACTCGTTGCAACCAGTTCCATGTTCTGCAGCCAGGGCAGCAGACACTGCAGCAGCAAGGCACGCACATCTTCACGGGCGCTCTGAAAACGATGTGTTATCTCTGCAAAGACACATAAAAAGAGGAAATCAACTGCTGTCTGCTGGTGTCTAACAAGTTGCCAGTCGTCGTAACTCACCCGAAAATATGGACATGGTGAGCTCGGGTCGCAAGTGCGCCAGCTGCTTGGAGAGGAAACGCTGCGAACGACAATAGGCATTACTCAGCAGCTCATCCAGCGTGCCAACTTTATCATCTTCTGAAAGCGAACAACAAGAAAAAGTGAAAGTGAAAGTGAAAGTCTAGTGAATGTAGAACACTTAAGAACCATCATATGAAACATATTCGTAAAATGAAAATCCAACCCCATATATTACTTCCGGCCATTTGTTGGTTCTGCCGCAGCTGAATGCTCGGCAACAACTGAATGCATCCGGCGAGGGCATCGCTTAGGCAACTCCAAGACTTGCGGTTTTCCAGTTGTTAGAAAGCTTAAAGCCGGCACTGGAAAGCTGCGAAGTCGGTGTTTATGTTTGGTTCAATCTGTGCCAGCTCACAGCAGACAATAACTAAAAGCCACTAACACAATTGCAACTCCTGTTGACAACAATAGCTGCACCACTCTCCCTCCCTCTCTTTCTGAACCTAGAAATCAGTTGGCGGCCCACTTGTTGGGCCACCTCTAGCCCGTGACCTTGTCACCTGTTGATTCTATGAATGAAATGGCGACATTTGGCAGTGCGCCGACTCGAAATTGGAGGCGAAAAGCTTTCCGGCATTTTTCGCGCCTTCCAATGGCGGCGAAATGAACCGAATTGCTTATAAGCTCGTCTCGACCATTGTCTCGGCTTAGTTGCGCGCGTATTGTCCTGCAGGCCGGATGCCCTGTCAGCGAATCAGAATTCATTGAACCCAGCAACGTAATAAAAAGCGCCGTCGGTAAAACTCAGCGAGCCCCATTGAACAATTAATAGACTAATAAATAGCGCAAGAAAAGAGCACACAAAAAAGAACTTTAGAGCCAAGCGGAAAGTTTGTCAAACTTTTATTAAGAATCTAAAACTTCCTTGAACACTTGTCCGATTTCAGAGCGTGTGAAAAAGTTCCTCGAACAAAATCAAATTAAGAAAAAAATTACACAAAAAAAATAAAAGTTAAAATCAAACGTTAAAAAGTTAAGAAACCATTGGAAAAAAAGAACTTTGATATAATAATTTTTTACTGATAATAGCATAGCACTTCCTAAAACTTGAAATGAACAAAATTTATTTCGTATTTGACGGCGCGTGCAAAAAGCAGAAAATTAAATAGGCTCAACTATATTTTTT